AAGAAATAAATAAGACAAACTACACAGGGGTGGGCAAACTTTTTGACTCGAGGGCCACAATGGGTTCTTAAACTGGACTCAGAAGAAGGAGCTGCGGCCGTGTTTCCCGACGTTGCCATGTTAACACTGCTGCTGGTGAAGGAGCAAAGGGGAGAGCAAGAGAACCCTCCGCTCTTTCGGCTCCGCGGGCCAGATAGAACAGCCGAACAGGCCGGATCCGGCCCGCGGGCCGTAGTTTGCCCACGGCAGAACAGGCTCCAGAGAGAATTTGTGAAATAGTCCCTCTGGCGTTCAGGTGGAATCATATCTCTCTCTGTGAAGTCTGACTGATTTGGCATCATCTGTGATCATAAAACTCTTGCCTTCCTGACTGAACATACTCTGAGATCATTTTTCAGATTTTCAGAAATCTCTCTTATTATGTGTAGAGTAATTATTTTTTGGTTTATATTTTATAATTCCATGTTATATTTTCTTGTTTACATTTTCAAATTATATTTCCTACAAAATTTGGCACATTGCTGGACATACAGCTAGTGCTCAATAAGCATTATAATGTAAGTAATGATTATAATGATTAAATTAATTAGTTTTATATCAAACAAAATTTACTTTTGCAACTAATTACACTTATACCATTAACTTGAAGCACTTCAATTCTATCAATTTTTCAGTTCAGTCTAACAAATGAAAGAAAATGGGTTATGTCCCCGGCTGTCCTTTTTCCAAGGAGTAAGGCCCTGTACTTCCTCTCTGATGCTTGGTCAACCCCCCCCCCCCCCCCTTGGAAAGAAGAATAAATTTAAACACTAATACTGAGTCCTGCACCTCTCTGAGGTATTCCTGTGGGAAATAGTACCTATTTCTTTGAAGCCCTAACAGTACAATGAGTAGTGCAGAGAAACTTATGAATGTAAATTAGTTTTTGTACCCAGTTGTTTATCATATGTTCAAGAAAGCCTCTCCCTCAAAATTCCTGACTAGTGTGAGAGATCACCCAGCCTTCATTGGAACCAAAGCTGAGCCAAGTGTAGGCTGCCCAGAGCCATTCAGCAGATGTGTCCAGTGTGGTGCAGCAGTAAAAACAGCAGCAACTGATACTCAATCCTAGGTGGGACCTAATGGTGTGGAGAGAAACTTGGAAAGGGAGACTCGAATCTGATGGGAGTGGCAGGTCAAAATGGATCTATAAATTTATGACTGGAGTAGGCACATATAAAGAGGTGTTATATTACAACTGAAAATGATAGTGAGGAAGTGACAGAATATCAAGAATTCTCTAAAGAGGTATGATCAAAGTGCCTTAGGAAAGAACATTCTTATGGGCAAAGTTCTCCATATTATTTGGTTACTTCTTGAATTCTGCATCTTCTTCTTGGTATTCTTTAGAGGGGTATGTGGTTGACTGACATTCTGGTAGTTGGCACTAGTCAGAGTTCATGGAAATGTACCCTTTGGAAACTACCATCCTATCTAATAATAGACAAACATGGTAATTAACCATAACTTCGCTACCCTTCCAATTGGCTAATCAGGGCGTTATGCAAATTAACTGCCAACCAAGATGGCGGCCGGCAGCCAGGCAACTGAAGCGAACAGGAGACTTGCTTGCTCCAGTGAAGGAGGAAGCCAAGGTTCCCCGCCTGCCACTGCTGGGCTCTGAGCTTGCACTCTAAGAAACAATGTTGCAATTATAGAAGTTAAACAAACCCCAGAAACTTGCTT